GGTTTAAGAGCAAGTCCCCTTCAATGATATTCAGTATGAATGTAATATTTTTCGTCAATTAATTGCTAGGGTGAAATGCCAATTATTGAGTCGACTAGGTGTCACCTCACCCACCCCCAGTGGCGGGCCCAGGCCCCCTCGCCCCCCCCCCCCCCTTGAGAAAAAAAATCATGTAAAAACAAGTGATTTTTACCTTTTGGGGGGGTGCAAATTTTTAAATTTTTAAATAAGTGTCCTGCCAGGCTCACAAATAACGTATCAATATATGCTCATCTGAACGTAATTTATCCGCCCCCTGAAACCCCACGCCAATTCGTGACCTGCCAGTGTCACAAAATAAGGTATCAAAATATGCTCATCTGACGGTAATTTATTGTATGAAACCCCTGAGATTCTTTGGGCTCCGCCCCTTGGACCCCACACCAATTTGTGTCTTGCCAGTGTCACAAATCCTGCCTGCTATGACAAACTGCAGTACCCTGGTAGCTGCTGATCTCCGATAGAGCGGAGGAAGAAGAAGAAGAAGAAGGTATCAAAATATGCTCATCAGACCATACTTTTTTGCCAAAAAACCCCTGAGCTCCCAGGGGCTCTGCCTCCTGGACCCCACGCCAATTCGTGACCTGCCAGTGTCACGAATAAGGTATCAACATATGCTCACCTGACTGTTAGTAAATGCCTATACCCCCTGAACTTCTGGGGGTTCCACCCCTTGATCCCCCACGGGGCTTCGCCCCTAGACCAGGGGCGTCGCTAGACCTTTTTCAGTGGGGAGGGGGGTGTAGAGGCCAACGATTACCGACAAAAGTAGCCACCAATTACCGACAAAATTAAATTTCCAATATCTACAAAGTCAACCCTATAAACCTGGGGCCGAAGGCTAAATTGTTTTTCATATGGACTATCTATAGTACTTGCATATGCGCAAAATGGTCATTTTTCCTCGACGACATTAATATACGAATTATTTCTTAAATTTAGTCAGCATCATAGCTATATATTTTAATGCAGGCGCAGAGCTAGGATCTTATTTTAGGGAGGGGCGGTAGTGAGCAAGAGAATCACTTAAAAGCGCGCTCATAAGGGGGTGTGGGCAAAGACGTTTGTGGGTGATGAGCCTCCCGCACGAAGCGCGGAAGCTTAGACGTTTCCTTAAATTATTAGGAAAAGAAGACGATTAATTGTACCGTTTTCGACTGGTAATCCTAGGCTGAATGAAGTTCCCCCCCCCCCCTCCCGCGCGAAGCGCGAAAGATTTGACGTTTCATTAAATTATTATGAAAAAAAGAAGACGATTTGCTGTACCATTCTCGACTGTTTATCCTTTTCTGAATTCAGTATTCCCCCCCCCCGCGCAAAGCACGGAAGCTTTGACGTTTCATTAAATTATGAGAAAAAGCAGACGATTCGGTTTACTGTTCTCGACTCTTAATCCTAATCTGAATGAAGCTTCCCCCTCCCGCGCGAAGCGCGGAAGTTTTGACGTTTCATTAAATTATTAGAGAAAGAAGACAATTCGTCGTACCGTTTTCGACTCTTAATAAGCCCTACGGTATTCATCTGAATTCAGTTTCTCCCTCTCGCGCGAAGCGCGAAAGCTTTGACGTTTCCTCATATCATTAGAGAAAGAACACGATACATCATACCGTTTTCGACTTTAAATAAGCCCTATTAATTTTGTCTGAATTCAGTATTCCCCCCGCGCAAAGCGCGGAAGCTTTGACGTTTCATTAAATTATGAGAAAAAGCAGACGATTCGGTTTACTGTTCTCGACTCTTAATCCTAATCTGAATGAAGCTTCCCCCTCCCGCGCAAAGCACGGAAGCTTTGGTTTTATTAAATTATTAGAGAAAGAAGACGATTCGTCGTATCGTTTTCGACTCTTAATAAGCCCTATTCATCTGAATTCAGTTTCCCCCTCTCGCGCGAAGCGCGAAAGCTTTTACGTTTCCTCATATCATTAGAGAAAGAACACGATTCGTTGTACCGTTTTCGACTTTTATTAAACCCTATTAATTTTGTCTGAATTCAGTTTCCCCCTCTCGCGCGAAGCGCGGAAGCTTTGACGTTTCCTTAAATTATTAGAGAAAGAAGACGATTCGTCGTTCCGTTCTCGACTCGTCTAAATGAAGTTTCCCCTTCCGCGCGAAGCGCGGAATTTTTGGCGTTTCATCACAATATAGAGAAAGGAAGACGATTCCTCGTACCGTTTTCGAATCTTATAAAGCCCTATTCATCTGAATTCAGTTTACCCCTCTCGCGCGAAGCGCGAAAGCTTTGATGTTTCCTCAAATTATTAGAGAAAGAACACGATTCGTTGTACCTTTTTCGACTCTAAATGAGCCCTATTAATTTTGTCTGAATTCAGTTTCCCCCTCTCGCGCGAAGCGCGGAAGCTTTGACGTTTCCTTAAATTATTAGAGAAAGAAGACGATTCGTCGTTCCGTTCTCGACTCGTCTAAATGAAGTTTCCCCTTCCGCGCGAAGCGCGGAATTTTTGGCGTTTCATCACAATATAGAGAAAGGAAGACGATTCCTCGTACCGTTTTCGAATCTTATAAAGCCCTATTCATCTGAATTCAGTTTACCCCTCTCGCGCGAAGCGCGAAAGCTTTGATGTTTCCTCAAATTATTAGAGAAAGAACACGATTCGTTGTACCTTTTTCGACTCTAAATGAGCCCTATTAATTTTGTCTGAATTCAGTTTCCCCCTCTCGCGCGAAGCGCGGAAGCTTTGATGTTTCCTTAAATTATTAGAGAAAGAAGACGATTCGTTGTTCCGTTCTCGATTCGTCTAAATGAAGTTTCCCTTTCTGGCGTTTCATCACAATATAAAAAAAGGAAAATGATTCGTCGTACCGTTGTTTTAAATTTTAAACCTCTGATTTCTTTAGCTGATATTATAGGAAAGTGAAACTTCGAGAAAATACAAGTATTGTAGTTGTAGTCACTCTCGAAGTCGTCACAGCGGATAAGAAGTCGCAGTTCGTAGGGAAAAGAAAATTGTCGGCCGACCGACAATAATCTCACCGACTTCAAACTTATGCATTGATGAGGATCGAGCAAGAATACCGACACAGCTATCTTTTATGTTTTCGTACGTTATAGAAATTCTACAAATTCATCATTATTTTCCTCTTCTTCCTTCTCCTCTTTTTCTTCTTCTCCTTCTTCTTTTTCTTCTTGTACTTAATATCATTTCTATCATCAGTTTAATGTTGTTATTATTATTATCTTTAATAAGTAGTTCTTTTAATTTTCTTACCTGTCTGTAAATATTACTATTTTAACTTATTAATTTTATACATGTCTGTAAGGGACCCCACTGGAAATAAGCTCTCGAGCTTTCGTGGGTTATCCTGTTCAAGCTGACTTTTTTGATCTGTTATTATTGTATATTGTTGTATGTTGGAAGCTTGTCGAATAAAAATCAATCAATCAATTCAAGCTGACCCGACACAGCAACATATTTACCCATGTCTTTCTTGCTCCCTCGACGAGACGACTCCACCCAACAACCCCCTTTTCTCTTTTACTCCCACTCCTCTCTCAGACTCTTACCTCCCCTCTCTCTCCAGGCTCTTTCATCCCCCGTTTCTTTTGTTTCCCTTTCAATCTTTTTTCTTCTTTTTTTTTCCTTTTCTTTCTTTTCTTTTTTTCCTTTCTTTCCTCTCCCCCCTCTTTTTCTTTTTTCTCTTTCTTTCTTCTCTTTCCTTTCCTTTCTTTTCCTTTCTTTCCTTTCTTTTCCTTTCTTTCTTTTCTTTTCCTTTTCTTTTTTTCTTTTCTTTTCCTTCCCCTCTCTTTTTTTCCCTCTCTTTTTTTCCCTCTCTTTTTTTCCCTCCCCCTTTTCTCTTTTTCCCGACGGCAGCGCAATTTTACCGACAATATCCTGACAGGTGGGGGGGGGGGGGGTGTCGCACCCCCCCCCACACCCCCCTTTGGCGACGCCCCTGCCCTAGACCCAACGCCAATTTACGCTACGCTCTACCAGCTGATCATAAATACCACCCCCATCCCCACCTAGCTATAGAGAAACGTTCCGCGCCTGAGTGCCCCAGCCCCCAGGCCATGCCCCAACTTTGGTTGTGGCCTAGAAATGTGAAGCCTTTTCCTTTGCGGTGAGAGACTACTGGCCGGAATGCTTCCCCGCCCCCCCCCCCCCCCCCCCACTCAGTGCTATTTAGGGTACGCATATGCTTGTTCCCTCTTTTTGAAAGCACCCCCTAGCTATCTGAGGACTGCCAACATTTCCGATCGAACCCCCCTTTCGCTGGATTTTTGCGGGTTTTTTGCGGGCTTTTCCTGCCTTGGAGACCCCCATAAATCATGAAAAATGCTCAATGTACCCCCCTAAATTCAGAATAATTTCTCAGGAGTCCAAAGAGATGAGAGAAAAAAAAAAAAAAAAAAAAACCCTTTTTAAAGAAATCTCTGGGTGACAAGTTAATACACCCCTTTTTTTACAATTCTCGGGCAAGATTTTGTCGCACAAAAAGTACCCCTTTACCGGACATTTTGGTAACACGCATGGGGTCCGTCCGTTCTCGGAGTGGGGGGGGGGGGGGGCCGGGAATGCTTCAGGGAGTGGAGATTGTGCAGACAATATAGTATATATGTAAAGCACTTATAAAAGCGGAATATTATTATTAATTATTATTATTACTGATTTTTACCATCGCCCAGGGGCGGATCCAACTGGCGGCAAAGGAGCTGGGGCCAAAGAAAAGGGTCCCAATTCGGGATAAATTATTAAGCGGCGAAAGAGCCAGCCGTTTATTCGATTGAATAAACGGGAAGAGGGGGGGGGAGGGGGGGGGACATTTTTTTTAAAACTCAAAACCCGGGCCCCCAGCACCCCCCCCCCCCCCCGACCCCTCGGATCCGCCACTGCCCTCTCCCCAGCAAGAGAATCTTAAATTATGAAAATCTGATAGCAGACGACAGAAGTAATTCAGTTGACAGCTGCCAACTTGTATATTATACGCGTATTATTAGCGTAGAGGGCAAAATGATAAATTCAGATGGCGGCGATTTCAGAAACTGGAGCGCAGGTAATGTGTCTTAAATGTCAATTCCATGGAGATTCAGATCCATTTCGAAACCTTTACTATTTAAATGGTATTTGTTTACATGAAATCCGGGCTTAACTTTAGAATACCCCACCAAAACGTAGTATCTCCGTTGGTCGCCAACGCGCCAACGTACCAATTTAGTGTAGTCCCTTCCTTTCGTATTCGTGACCAGTTTCTGAATTTGCTAACGCATCAAGTCGAGCATGGAAATATGGTTATTTGTTATGTTTTAACTCCTTCCTATTACCTCTTACACATCAAAGTATTTTATTTATAGATTGTTAAAGATGTTCTCACCTTAGTTGGAATGTTTTACTCTTTATATTGCTTGAAAATCGTCAAAAAGCAATGTAACAACTGTCGGAAAGTATCAGTAAAGAGTGAAAAAAAATCGGAAACTTATGGTGTCCATTAAATGGCAAACAAAGAAAGGAAATAAGGCGCGTTGGCGCGTTGGCACGTTGGCCCGTCCCTCATTGACAAACTGAATTAAAATATGAAATAAGTAGCCTAAAAGTAATGGGGGAAAAAAATCAGGAACTTGTGGTGTACTTTAAATGGCAAACAAAGAAAGGAAATAAGGCGCGTTGGCGCGTTGGCACGTTGGCCCGTCCCTCATTGCCAAACGAAAATAATATAGGAAATAAGGAGCGTTGGCACGTTGGTCCGTCCGTCATCTGGCCATTGACCGAATAAGGAATATAACATTCACATTTGTCTTTCTAGGCACGATGGAGATTTACAATTTTATTTCTTTAAAAGTACTTGGGGGAGCTGTTTCAAATTAATGCGATATGAAATTAATGATTGAAATGTCACGTTATTAACTTCATGTTTCAGTGTTAGTACGTTGGCATGATGGCGATTTATGATCCATTGTCAGTACGTTGGCACGCCACTGGTGATTGAAATTTCATTAATAATTAGAAAACAAAGAGGATTTGTTGTACCATTCTCGACTCTTATTTCTTGTCTGAATTCAGTTTTCCCCCGCGCGAAGCGCGGAAGCTTTTGCCTTTCATCAATTATTGGAGAAAGAAGACGATTTGATGTACCATTCTTGACTCCTTATTCTTGTCTGAATTCAGTTCCCGCCACTCCCCCCCCCCCTCCCCCGCTCTCGCGCGAAGCGCGCAAGCTTTGACCTTTCATTAAATTATTAGAGAAAGAAGACGATTCGTTGTACCATTCTCGACTCTTAATCCTTGTCTGAAGTCAGGTTCCCCCCTCCTGCGTGAAGCGTGGAACCTTTGGTGTTTCATTAATCGGTTCCCCCCCCCCTCCCCCCGCGCAAAGCATGGAAGGTTTTAGCTTTCATTAATTATTAGAGAAAGAAGACGATTTGTTGTATCATACAGACTCTTATTTTATGTCCTAATTCAGTTTCCTCCCCCGCCCCCCCCCCCCCCCCCCTCCCCTCCTGCGCCTCGGACATCGTAGGATCGTTGGCAGGCAAAACAATCTCGGCAAAGTTTTGTTCAACACATGCATGTTGGTGAGAGACAACGACCAACGATGTGCTACGCACAGGGTTTGGTGACGTCACACAGTGTGGACATCGTTGGCAGACAACCCAATCCTGGCAAAGTCATCAAAGGAGAGAGGAATGAAGTACAGAATAATAGAAAGAGTCTATAGTCCGAAGACAGATGAGAATTAAACAGAATTATTATTATTAATATTATCATTATTGATAATATTAAAAAGAAGAATAAGAGAAATGGGAGAAGATGAAGATCGGAGAACAAGTAGGGCCTAGTGGTCGTGGGTAAAACAAATTGAAAACAAAAGAAAGGGGAATATATAGATCGAGGAATAATACTACAACAATGATAACAATAAGGGTGCGCATGCGCACATGGTAACGTTAGGTGAATGTAAATCGGCAAAGCAGTGAATTGGCTCAATATAGCGTTAAGATTTTTTAATGCCTGATTTATGTCTTAGTTTCAGAGAAAAAAACGTTGGGAGAATTTACTGTTAATCACTGTTAGAGAGTGTTGCACAGTGACGCCTTCAAAGAAAACCATAAATATCTTTGTGGTTTAATTGAGAAGATGAAGATCAAAGGAGAAGAAAAAGAAGAAGAAGTGGTCGTGGGTAAAACAAATTGAAAACAAGAAAAGAGGAATAGAGGAATAATATACTATAACCATAATATATCAATAAAAATCCATCTACCACAAAAATCTGTACATTTTGATGTACACCCCCTACTAATTTTTTTTCTTCCCTTTTTTCCATTTTACCAATATTTTTGTCTCCATATTTGTATTATTATGTATCCATTGAGGGTAGTCATACTATCAAGCTTTGCTTACTTTGTCAACCCTCCTGTTTGATGTTTTCGATTAGTTACGGCCAACCTTACTTTGTTTAATCTTTTGTCATGTATAAATGTTCAATGATTTGTTTGTTATATATTTGTAAAACTGAAAAAGAAAAAGAAAATCAAGCAATAAAAAAAAAACCTGATTGATGTTTCTGATTAGTTACAGCCAACCTTACTTTGTTTCACATATACTCTTTTGTCATGTATAACAATGTTTTGTTTGTTATATATTTGTAAAACTGCAAAAGAAGAAGAAAATCAAACAGAAATGGGACCCGGTGTCCTAGGGTTAGGGTTAGGGTGAGAGTTAGGGTAACGCGGAACCCGGTGTCCTATGGTTAGGGTTAGAGTTAGTAACGCAAACTCCAGTGTCCTAGGGTGGCGCGGGACCAGATGTCCTAGGGTGACGCGGGACCCAGTGTCCTAGGGTTAGGGTTAGGGTGAGAGTTAGGGTAACGCAAACTCCGGTGTCCTAGGGTGACGCGGGACCCGGTGTCCTAGGGTGACGCGAGACCCGGTGTCCTAGGGTGACGCGGGACCCGGTGTCCTAGGGTTAGGGTTAGGGTGAGAGTTAGGGTAACGCAAACTCCGGTGTCCTAGGGTGACGCGGGACCCGGTGTCCTAGGGTGACGCGGGACCCGGTGTCCTAGGGTTAGGGTTAGGGCGAGAGTTAGGGTAACGCAAACTCCGGTGTCCTAGGGTGACGCGGGACCCGGTATCCTAGGGTGACGCGGGACCCGGTGTCCTAGGGTGACGCGGGACCTTGTGTCCTAGGGTTAGGGTTAGGGTGAGAGTTAGGGTAACCAAACTCCGGTGTCCTAGGCTGACGCGGGACCCGGTGTCCTAGGGTGGCGCGGGACCCGGTGTCCTAGGGTTAGGGTTAGGGTGAGAGTTAGGGTAACGCGAACTCCGGTGTCCTAGGGTGACGCGGGACCCGGTGTCCTAGGGTGATGCGGGACCCGGTGTCCTAGGGTGACGCGGGACCCGGTGTCCTAGGGTGACGCGGGACCCGGTGTCCTAGGGTTAGGGTTAGGGTGAGAGTTAGGGTAACGCAAACTCCGGTGTCCTAGGGTGACGCGGGACCCGGTGTCCTAGGGTGATGCGGGACCTGGTGTCCTAGGGTGACGCGGGACCCGGTGTCCTAGGGTGACGCGGGACCCGGTGTCCTAGGGTTAGGGTTAGGGTGAGAGTTAGGGTAACGCAAACTCCGGTGTCCTAGGGTGACGCGGGACCCGGTGTCCTAGGGTGACGCGGGACCCGGTGTCCTAGGGTTAGGGTTAGGGTGAGAGTTAGAGTTAGGGTAACGCAAACTCCGGTGTCCTAGGGTGCCGCAGGACCCGGTGTCCTAGGGTGACGTGGGACCCAGTGTCCTAGGCTGACGCAGGACCCGTGTCCTAGGGTTAGGGTTAGGGTGAGAGTTAGGGTAACGCAAACTCCGGCGTCCTAGGGTGACGCGGGACCCGGTGTCTTAGGGTGACGCGGGACCCGGTGTCCTAGGGTTAGGGTTAGGGTGAGAGTTAGGGTAACGCAAACTCCGGAGGGTGATGCGGGACCTGGTGTCCTAGGGTTAGGGTTAGGGTGAGAGTTAGAGTTAGGGCAACACAAATTCCGGTGTCCTCGGGTGACGCGGGACCCGGTGTCCTAGGGTTAGGATTAGGGTGAGAGTTACAGGTAACGCAAACTCCAGTGCCTAGGGTGACGGGGACCTGGTGTCCTTGGGTGTTCAAAACAAAGAATAACTTGTGGAAAGATAGAAATGGAAGATTAAACAAAATAATAATATGGAAAGAAAATTTAAAAGAAGGAGGAAATAAAAAATACCATAAGGAAAGACAGGTGCTAATAAGCAAAATGTAAATGGAAAAGAAAGAGAAATAAAGAATAACATGAGGAAATTAGAAAAAGAAGATAAAAGAAGTTTTAAACAAACAAATACATAAGGAGCGGTGGATATGGAAAACCCGCGCGAAGCGCGTAAGCTTTGACCTTTCAAAAATTATTAGAAAAAAAAGACGATTCATTGTACTATTCTTAACTCTTAATCCTTGTCTGAAATCATTCCTACCCCCCCCCCCCCCTCTCGCGCGAAGCTTTGACGTTTCATTAAATTCATAGAGAAAGAAGACGATTCGTTGTACCATTCTCGACTCTTAATCCTTGTCTGAAATCAGTTTTCCCCTCTCGCGCGAAGCGCGCAAGCTTTGAACTTTAGTAGTAGTAGTAGTACTACTACTAGGTACTACTACAGATTCTGAAAATGCCTTGTTTCACTATCATTATAAGTATAACTTATCACTCGGTATCAGCAGTCAAGCTTGCAGTTGAAGCATAATCAACAGCGTTAATATTTTGTAAACCAAAATAAATAACAGAGAAAATGGCAAACATATTATGTAAATAACCCACTTACCAAATTAGGAGAGCAGTCATGAGATAATTCGTTCATATGATTGTATATGAAATAGGATGAATATCGCCTGACCTTTATAGTTAACAAAACGTTTTACATTTGGTCGAGTATAAAACAGTTTCGATTAGTCATTTAATGCTTAGGATATTTTACTATTAGACGAATATTTAACTGGTACAAGCGAAACTTTCATTTAAAATTATAACGTTTATAAAAGTATATACACATAATTATGTGTGATGTACGTTGTATGTATGTTTATCAGAGGCGGCGCTCCCGGAAGGGGGCACAGTGCCCCCCCCCCCCCACTTTATCAAGTTCTCCAAAAGTGCCCCTTTTAAAACAGGAAAAGTGCCCTTTTAACTTTGTAAGAAGTGCCCCTTTTTACATAAAAAGTGCCCCTTTTACTTTGAAAAGTGCCCCTTCCCCTTTCCACCTCTGACATAAAAAACCCTCTTCTTTACACGTACCCCTTTTCGTTCGACAAGTTCCCATTAAGTGTTCATTTTCCATTCTCATAAGTGCCCTTTATAATCTGTAATAATTTAAGTGCCTCTTTTCAGATAGAAGTGCCCCTTTTCACCTCTGATAATTGCCCTATTCAAATCTGATAAGCGCACCTTATATCTTCACATGTGCCCCCTTTCCTTTCTAATAAGCGCCCCCATTTAAAAAAGAGCCCCTTCCCTTTCTCATAAATGCCCTTTTTCATCTGTGAAAACAGTCTCCTTTTTATTTATGAAAACAGTCTCTTTTCATTCTCATAAGCCCTTTTCTAAGACGATGGCGATTTAACTTCAAGTCTCTCAACTATGGCTCGTTGGCACGTTGGCAATATAAATTCAAGTCTCTCAACTCATGTTGGCTCGTTGGCACGTAATTGGCACGTTGGCGATATAAATTCAAGTCTCTCAACTCATGTTGATTCGTTGGCACGTTGGCACGTTGGCGATTTAACTTCAAGTCTCTCAACTCATGTTGGCACGTTGGCGATATAAATTCAAGTCTCTCAACTCATGTTTGCTCGTTGGCACGATGGCACGTTGGCGATTTATCTTCAAGTCTCTCAACTCATGTTGGCACGTTGGCACGTTGGCGATATAAATTCAAGTCTCTCAACTCATGTTGGCACGTTGGCGATATAAATTCAAGACTCTCAACTCATGTTGGCTCGTTGGCACGTTGGCACGTTGGCGATATAAATTCAAGACTCTCAACTCATGTTGGCTCGTTGGCACGTTGGCACGTTGGCGATATAAATTCAAGACTCTCAACTCATGTTGGCTCGTTGGCACGTTGGCACGTTGGCGATATAAATTCAAAACTCTCAACTCATGTTGGCTCGTTGGCACGTTGGCGATATAAATTCAAGTCTCTCAACTCATGTTGGCTCGTTGGCACGTTGGCACGTTGGCGATATAAATTCAAAACTCTCAACTCATGTTGGCTCGTTGGCACGTTGGCACGTTGGCGATATAAATTCAAGTCTCTCAACTCATGTTGGCTCGTTGGCACGTTGGCACGTTGGCTATATAAATTCAAGTCTCTCAACTCATGTTGGCTCGTTGGCACGTTGGCACGTTGGCGATATAAATTCAGTCTCTCATCTCATGTTGGCTCGTTGGCACGTTGGCGATATAAATTCAGTCTCTCAACTCATGTTGGCTCGTTGGCACGTTGGCGGCACGATTGCGATTTCCATTCAAGACTATATCTCGGCACCAAGTTGTAGTACTTTAACAAGTTGAAGCGTTGGGTTGGCGGATCAAAAAAAAACCTTTAGTTCGCATGGTGGGGTATTCTAAAGTTGTTCCGAAATCCGTAATTTGAATTGATAAAAACCAACTCGAGACCGCCGCAAACCGTGAAATACATGCTGATGAGTGCCGCTTTTGACAGCCTGTCTGCAACCGATGACCATGAGCTATATTAGCGCCTAGCCTAGCGGCCTGGCTCAACGGCCTAGGGTCCACTCGAGCCGAACGAGCTATTGGCTATCCACCTATTGAACTGGGCCTGGCTGGGGGAGGGGGGGGGGGGGGCCGGGGGAGCAGATAATATTATAATAAGACTGGGCGCTGGTTCAGAAGTATATCCAGACTTTGACACGTAACTCTGGCATGGAGATAACTTACTAAAGTAAAACATAACCTTAAACCAAAAGCAAGTAGGGTCTAGGCCTAGATCTAGACTCAAGGCCTAGCCCTAGATCTAGATCTAGTAGTAGGTCTAACTCTAGGCCTAGATCTACTAGATCTAGACCTAGATCTATTTCTACTTCTAAGTTCTACCAGACCTAGACCTCTAGGTCTACTTAGATAGAGCCTAGCTAGGCCTAGGCCTAGTTCGTTAAGCCTCTTATTTGGGTAGGGTCTGCTCTAGCGACCCTACCCAAATGAGGCTTAACGAACGAAAGAGACAGAAAATTCAGTCTAACTAGACCTAGATCTAGGCCTTCACTTTTTTCAGTACTAAATTCATCAAATGTCATGATTTGGCGCTTGTTCAGAAACCTATCCAAAATTTGACCCGTAACTCCTAGACCCTCTAGATCTACTAGGTCTAGTCTAGAGTCTAACTAGACTAGACCTCTAGGCCTAGAGTACTAAAGGAGCCCGTTTTCGGCCACTTAAGACAAAATCCTATTTTTAGGACTCTTTATTTCGTATTTATTATCATTTCTTGTTCAAATCATGAAGCAAATATTATTATTATTTAAACAAAAAAAGAATCCCAGAAAAAAATCACGAATTGCCATGACAATATTCATTTCAATTTTCACTGTTTTGGAGCCCGTTATCGGCCGAGCGTTTCAGTTTACGGCCGCATGTACAAAGTCAATAGGAAGCGCTCGCGCGCGCCGTGCGTTTCCGCGCTGATGTACAGCACAAGCGGGCGGAGCAGGTATCCCACGCCGGAGCTCCCTGGTGCTCGCCTGGCCGAAGACGGGCACAGCGGTGATCGGAAGTTGGAATCTGAATTAGACAGAGATATCGTGTGTGCGTTGCGGTGTGCGGCTGCATTGATTTAATACATGCGATGAGATACTTTTGAGCTTGCGACCAGCACAAAATCGGGCTTTGAATCTGAAAAATACTTGAAATAAAGCTCATTTTATGGTACCCATATTTCTTACAGACACGCGTAAGATACTCGATTTTTCAGATTTGGGTAGCGGGACCGGCGATTACATCGCTAAAATGTGATATTTTAGGATATATTTTCCATTGCAAATGTGGTTCTTCAGTGACACTGGCATGGTATGGTATGTGTGGGATATGTGTTATGCTATTATGCGATGTATTTTAGAGTGATTTTACCTTGCATCCAACCAATCGGCCGAAAACGGGAGCTGGCCGATTACGGGCTCCTTTACTCTATACCCAAAATGAAGTAAATATTCATTAAAATAGACCTAGATAGTAGATGATAGATCCTAGATCTAGTCTAGAATCTATGTCCAAATAAAGATCATGAGTTAAAAGTTGTTATGTTTATTAGACTCTAGATCTACCTGTTTCGTGTCAATTGTATTTTCTGAAAAACGTTGATATTAGTATACAATTTTTCATAGGTTTCATGGCAAACCGCTGCACAATACAAATGCATACCAATGGTGGGTTGCGGGCGGGCGTGTGCCTGTACTGTGTGAAGTTATCTACCGTAATGAGGATCTGAGAGATTACGGTACATGTAGATACTTCACACAGGCGTGCGCCCACCATCGGTGTGCACTTGTACTGTGCAGCGGTTTGCCGTGAAACCTAATATCAAAGTTTTTTGGAAAAATACTCCAAAAATAACAAGAAAATTGACACGAAACTTTATTTGGACATTTAATGAATATTTACTTCATTTTGGGTTTGTTTTAGTAGGGTATCTCCACGCCGGAGTTACGGGTCAAATTTTGGATAGGTTTCTGAACAAGCGCCCATGATTTAAAACTAAAAAAGTAAAAGCTGTTATGCTTCTTACCTGTTACGTGTCCATTTTCTTCTTTTTTAAAATTTTTTTTGAAAAACGTTGATATTAGTAGGGTGTCTGTACGATTTTTCAATTTTCAATTTGGGTTCGTTTTTCACCATTTTTGTTGGATATTGGAATAAAAAATGTAATCAGAATAGTACATTTCGAATTTAAAGACTCACTGATGTTTCTATCAAAAGATACAGCCCCTCAAAAACTCTGCAATATTCATAGCATTTTGGTCAGAATGGACAAAACAGTGGTTCACGCCAAGTTATAATTTTTGCTCAAAATCATCGACCAATTTAGCATGAGTGCGCAATGCACATGGACTGCATAGGATGTGTGCAATCTCTATGGGAAGGATTTTAGCACACAACACTGAGTGCGTGATCAGACACCCTAATATTAGTACATGTACAAGTTACTTTCTCACAGGTTTCACGGCAAACCGCTGCACAATACAAATGCATACAGATGGTGGGTTACAGTCGCAACACATGCGCGCGCCCGCATGGAGCTAGTTGTTTATATTAATTCTTTCTTTTTTTCATCTTTCACAGCTCTTTGCTCGACTCGGTGAGAAACCCTCTCTTGCTAGACTGAACCCCAAACTAATCCCACCAGGTTTAGAGCCTAGGCCTGGAGATGTGGTAGAGATCTACGGCAACAGTGGCTCTGGTAAAACTGAGCTTCTCCTGAACCTGGCTGCAATGTGTATTCTTCCAGAGCGGTGGAAGACCATTGATATTGGCGGATTAGGAACCAGTGTTGTGTTCATAGACACTGATCATCAGTTCTCAATGCTCAGATTGTTTGCTCTTCTGGAGAGGAAAGTTGCTGAAGCTATTGATAATAGGACAAAGCGTAAAGGTAGGATTGGAGATCATGATGGAGGTACATCAAGCACAACACATTTTAATTCCGAGTGTGCCAATCAAAAGGACAGTGACAGCAATAAGGAAACATGCTTGCAACAAAATGTGAACTTAAATTTGCACAGTGCTTCTTGCAGGACTACTGAAACTGCTGATCGATCGATTGATGAAGCCAAGTTTTCTCCCCCATCTGAAGAGGAAGTAGAAACTTTTTTAAAGGCATGCTTGAAGAAACTCTACATGGTCAAGATTGCTACAAGCAACCAGCTGGTTATAACCCTCCACTCCTTAGAATCCTTACTGGCCAGCCAGTGTGACATCTCTGTGCTCATGATGGACTCTGTATCAGCGTTCTACTGGGTAGATAGGATGAAAGGAGATGGTGCACATCGCCAAGGTGTCAATCAGAAGCTGGCATTTGGGGCCCTCTCCAGACTAGTTGAAGACTACCACCTAGTCCTGTTCGCTTCCAAGGCAGCTCTTGTAACTAAGCAACCACAGAATGAATTCAGTTTAAGACTTGACTCTACCGGGGAAACGGATCATTCCAATCGAACTTCAACCACGAGTGTGAAGTTAAGCACAGACCATCATGAGTTTATGAGCCAGGAATGGACAAAGCTTGTCACTCATAGGATGATATTAGAACGACATGATCACATGACCTCTGATGGACCAAACAGCTCCTATCTATCAGTGCTCAAGCACAAGGCCTCAGGAAATATGTATTCATGTCAATTCATTATAGATCAACAGGGCATTAGGGTATAGTTTATGTCCTGTCTATAACGGGGCAGTTCACTCTGGCATCGGGGCTTAAATAAAAGCAGAAATGTAATAAACAGATCAGACCTCGTGAGCTTCCTTCCACGCTTTAGGAATTTCATAAATATCCATCTTCCTCCGAAGTAATGACGTTGAGATACCTGTGACTTAGATTATTGTTGGACCCCACAATGAAATGGATGTTTTTCTTTTATTAGCAATCAAGAGGATGGACATTTTTGATAATTATGCAATATGGGGGAGGGGCGGGCTACTCAAAAGTGTAATTAAAAAGTTGCCAATCTGCTTTTGATTAATTCCCACTTTATAAAATTAAAATTCATTTTAATTTATTACATTTCATTTATCCAGTCCAGAGCTGATTTTCTCCAAACTTTGACAGTTCCACCGATCAGTACAATGAAACCCAATGAACTTGATATCAGGGTGGACTTGTCCTCTAATAGAAACTTCTCTGAAGTGCAATATTTATTTCAAATAAACATACTGTACATGTATGATGATTTTCACAGGACCTCAACCAAGTGTCATATCGTTATTAAGTGTCTGATTTGCAACAGTATTTTGTGTACATGTACATTTCCCCAACAATTGTTCATATATTTTATTTTTAACAGTTTACTAAATAATTTTTGGTGAAGCTAAGTTAGCTACTGGGTAAATAGATACTTGATGTAAGTATTGGCATTGAATTCCGTTTGTTGGATGATGGAAGATAAGATAGGGTGTTTGACTGTACATTATTTGTTTAAGCTGGTGATGAAACACCAGCTTACAAGCTACCGACTACAACTAGTGAGAAGACTTTACATGAATGACATCAGGGCCCCCATCTTATAAAGAGTTGATATCAATTGCAAGAGATAGGAGACTGCAAACTTTCAATTGATTTGGATAAGTTTTTATCAATCATAACTCTTTATACTTTATAAGATGGGGCCCAGATTGTAGGTGAAGTTACTCTTACAAAAAGATTAATTTTAGGCCTACATAAAAAAGTATGGAGTTTTTAAGAGCATACATTTGGTGAAACATGTTACATGCACATTGCTACCACCTATCTTTAAAAGCCATCTACATCATCTTATTCCCCTGGGAATAAGTGGTAGAAAGAAGAACAAGAAAGGAGGGCAGAGAGGAAGTACATGCAAGTTGTAAAAGGATAAAGTATATATTAAAGAATGCGAGATACAAAGTACGTACAAGAGATGTCTCAGATATGGTGGATGTGGTAAAAAGATATGTTGAGATGAAAAGCCAACTTATTTAGTGATTACCGTACCTCTCTCTCTCTATAGATGTACACCATTTTGCGCTTTCTCTCGTTCCTTCCAACAACAAAAAACAATTTACTCTCGCTTGTATTGAAGTTTTTTTTTTAATTGCTATCAAATAGAAAATTCTCTCCATGTATACTTCTTCAACTTCAATGGGTGGTATTCTCAAGCGGACTAACTTTAGTCAATGGTTTAATCCTCTGATTAAGTATGGAATGCCAAGTGTCCACATGAATATGTTTTTGAATAATTGAATCTGTCACTAAATAAAAATAAAATGTAATAACATAATTAATAAACAACAATATAACTATGAAATAATTCCATTCCATTCTTAGTCGGAGGATTAAACCATGGACTAATGCTAGTTTGCTTTCGAGATTACCACCCAATCAGGCTTAGAATGGACCAGACACCTCATCTCCTTTGCTTCTTATTATGCATGTTGAGGGAATTTGATGTGATCATTTTCTGAATCTTCAAGCCTGTTGCAAGAAAGCTCTGGATATCTCATTAGAACCCTTGATAAAAAATACCAACTTGAGACATGAACATGTATTTGAATGAGATGTCGGCAGACAAGAAGTTGCGATGGCTTCCTGTATAAACAGACCTGTCTTTCGTTTACTCTCATAAGCATTCATACTAGAAGTAAAGGAAAGGGATATACATGTACATGTCTATCCCTTTCTATCGTATTCATTCTTGTTACCGGTATACTTATTTGCATGAATTAATTCTATGAAGGATGAAATGGGACAGTATGTTTGTTTTGTCTACAAGTGTTTATTGTTCACTTTCTAATTCTCTTTTTTTCAGTATTACAATAGATTTATGAAAATATATATACATCGATCATCCTCCACGATAACCAGTTCTGGTCATGCGATTGCATTGTGAAAGAAATGTGGTATCGATCAGAAAAGGTTGATCATCTAGCATATGTATTGGTGTGTACTGCAAAGTTCTGGAATTATCAAAATGAAAAGAAATTTGGCCCAGTCTTGGTAAAGTTACAAGCACTGTACACAGAAAGATGTATGGGACTAGGGGATATAATCATTTACCAAATATATCAATTAGTTGGCGGTTTCCCGGCAAAATTTGTATCATCACGTATTATTCAAAATATATTCTTTCACATGATTGGTAATCAGAGCTTCCACATTTCACTTTTTTTGAGAGGGGGGCGTTTCCAAAACTAGTCTTTACCTTTAAGTTAAACATAGCATGCAACAAAGGAAATGTTCTTAACATAACAGCCTCAAGTGATTCTTACAACATTAGATCTATTTGTGGGTCATTCATGATGAATATGAATGACATTCAGGATAGGTTTTTTAACATGTAGAAGATTATTAAATCGACTGTAAATGATATAGTTCAACATTGCAAAAAATAACTGCCGTTTCAGACTATTTACAAGAACAACATCAACATCGCAGTTCCATAATATTCCATTAAAGTTAATGTCTGAAGTTTATTGGACTATTAAAACTTAAATCTAAATAGAGTTGGTTAAGATAGCATTGGCAAACTGTTGTCACATCGGGCAAACATGTTCAGAAACTTTACCCAATGATATGAAATGAGGCTAATGGCCTGACAGAATATGATAAACACTGTAATGATATTAACAGAATGTTAACTTCCAAGATAAACTTGAGTTCTGGTCATGCGATTGTCATGAGAAAAAAAATTACCGCCCCTGGTATCAGGTACAGTCAAACCTGCTTTAATGACCACCTGTCTACAAAAGGCCACATTTTTTGTTTCCCTTGAAAAAGGTTTGTCATTGAAACATGTACTAAAGGAACCTGTCAAAAAAAGACCTCCTGTATACAAGGACCACTTTTTATGTTTCCCTTGAGCAGTCACTATAGACAGGTCGACTGTAATAGACATTTCAACAATTAGCACTTTAATTACCTTTGCCAATGCTGAACAATTTATATACAGATCAAACAAGACATCAATAATCATCAGTCCTTATAACGGAATGTTGTAGAAGCACAACACATGTGGGGGGGGGGGGGGGGGGTGGGGCATAATAGATATATATAGAAAACTTTCTCAAAGTTTGACCAACCAGATACATACAAGACACTTCAAACACAAAATAATTGCAAACATAGCAAAGGTATATACACATAAAGAGGTGGATTATTACAAATAAAACATCATAGCAAGTTTTAAACTAAATAGATTTTTTCTAGGGATATCAGCCCATTCATTGGCCAAGCAATGGTTTATAAAAAAAAAAATTCTGTAAGAGCTCTTTTGAACGCTCTACTTTCTAATAATAACAAACAACTAGACATACAGCTTAAAGTTATCAACACTTTTAAAGCAAAGATATTGCATCATCATATGGCACTTCGTGACGGCATTTTCAGAGCATGAAATATATTTCAAAACACCAAATACATTTGATATTGAAACATCTCATGATGTTCTCTAAGTCTTCCTCTATTCAGCACACCATACTTTGTTGTAAAAATAAATATAACTTGGACACTTTGTAAAGATGAAGTTGAGTTCTGGTAATGCGATTGCATTGTGAAAGAAACGGTGTGGAATCCACAAGAAAAGACTTATCATCTAGCATATAAGAATTTGTGTGTATTGCAAGGTTCTGGAATCATCAAAATGATAAGAAATTTGGCCAAGTCTTGGTAAAGTTACAAACACTGTACACAGAAAGATGTATATGGGACTACACGAACATGTGGCGTAAAAATCCTGCCCTGGATTTTTACGATGTTACATGACATATTGAGAATATGAAGGCATTTGAACAGCCATGCTTTTCAGGGAACATGTCTTATCTGATGTTCTTCCACACTTGCATAATAAGAATGATAACACTCACAAATTATTTTTCACCTCTTCCCAGAACTCAACCTCTTCTTTAAGCAGCACAGAACTAAACAAAATATACCTCTTAAAACCATCTTGTAAAAATATAAATATTAGAGATACCGGTAATCTCTTCCTTTAATGCACCTACAATTTATATATCTTGATAAATTAATGATAATCTGTGTTAAGAAGCTGCAGTTGATTGCAGCATAAGATCTTTAGTTTCTATGCTCATCATGATTTCTCTACAAGAAAAGCTTTGAAAAAAAAATCTGCACCAACTTTCAGTCAAAAAGACTACAGACTTCAATCAAATCGACAATATTTGATATATTCAATAATAATATTCATAAACAAAATATGACAGAAAATGAATATCAAAACTACACGTATTGAGAATTTGAGTTGCCCATAATAACTCGGGTACACTTATAGCTGCTAACAAATAATCCATGGAGCCACTAATTACAACATTTATTTGAAACCTTTGGAAAATTTATCAGAGAATAAATTGATTAATCACTATATTCAAAGCCATGATTGAAAGGACCACAAATTTTCTTAGATAGATTTGATGGTCAAATACATTTATACAATAGAGAATTATTCAAATTTATGGTTATGGTACAGATTTTTACACAAACAACATTGATTTAAATGACCTATCATTTAAAGCCCCAAAACAGTTTGGAAGATATACCCGGTAGTAATATATTTCCCCAAACAAAATAATTTTACATCACATGTTTTCAAATCATTCTACTCAGAAAAATAATGCATAGGTTGCTTTGAGGTGTATGTTGTAATTGTACAGCACATGCTTAAAAAACAATACCAGTAAATGCTCTAACCTAACTTAGACCCTGTATCACTGTACCATGCAAGGTTCCCACAGAAATTTGAGAACCAAATTCCATGGTTTTCCATTACTTCCATGACCCTTAACAGCCTTTTTCTATGACCAGGTATTAAGTACATTTTGGTATGGGTTGCGGCATCCAAGCTGCATACGAATACCACGCACAACCATTATTAGTTTGAACTGAAAGGCTGCCATAGCAACACACAGCCCATACCCATGACTTTCAATGACTATTGGGAGATTTTTCATTTTCTATGACTTTGTCCACCACTGTGGAAACCCTGCTATACTTAACCCTAATCTAAAACCCCAAATTAGCCATCACCCTAAATCTTTAAAGATGCATACTAGCAGGCTCTCATGAGAAATTCAACACCATTCGGGTGTTTTACCCATTAACAAGTGTTGTCAATCACCAGGATTATCCTTCACTTATTTGACCAACAGGTTTTGTGTGATGCTCTGCATTTTCCACCCATCCCCCATGATAAAGACATTATCTTACATTTACCTCACCCGAAGAGTCTCTGACAGAATAAGGGGTATTTCTTGATGGGACTACGAGTTTGCTGTGTGCAAGACTTGTACACTCATAATGTTATTTCCAACAAGTCTGGTGTCAGCAAATTATGACCTTCTGCATGTGAAAACTGACGACCATCTCCCTTTAACAAAATAACACCTAGAGCGAATATCATATCACCTTTGTAATTACTCCACATGATGTCAGATGGATTTTAAACTTTGTTGTTCTGCTTCTCTTCTGGACAAAAAACCCTGGATCATCGGACGACCCTTGTTATTTAGATTGGAACATCTCCATCTCCATATCTAAAGAAGAAAGGAAAACAGAAATGGTGAACAAAAACAGAATATATACCTCTAAAACATCTAATAATTCTAAAAAATGAGATAATCCCAACAAATATGCTTGTTTGTAGTTACAATCAGCACAAGAGCAATATAGATGTTCATGATATCATTTTTTATCTCTGCACCTATGTTACAATAATACACGAGTGGAAGAATTATTTGTTTTTTAAAAGAAAAGGACACAATTAAAAGCTATTCATTAAGGGCTTCAATCACTTTGGGAATTTCTATATTTTCAAAATGCACTGTAGAAATCCGGGGTAATTTGTCATTATTTCAAAACTGGCTTATACAAGTACTTCTTGTATACTACCCTTAAATTAACCAAGTAGAAGCAGCGAACTTAATTTATTTGCACTCTCCTTTAATAGTTTTCTGTTGATACATAAAGTGGCTACTATTCACCCCTTCACAATATTTTTTCAATTCATCAAAGTCACATAACCATTTTACAAATTTGACATTTTCATGCATCGGGTGACCAAACTTTCAAACATTCACAATGTCCTTATTTTGGGTCATTATTCTCACACTTTCACCTATGCGTTTCTGTGTAAGATTTATGATGAAAATCGTCAGAAGCCATATCTTTTTTTTTGTCTGTTTTTACTTTCAGCAGCCTGTGCTTTTTTCATGTGTAATGAATAATTTGTGAGTATTGGAAATGTCCAAACTGATGAAGAGGCTGTTCACACCGGCAGAGATAGCACGGTCTGGCGTGTGCTAGACCGCGCTATCTCTGCGGTGTGGAAGGTTTCGGTCCGCCCAACAGCGAGCCATGGCGAGCCAAAACAGCGTGCCACTGAAGCACCTCTTGGAGGTGGTCCACGAGAGATAGCGCTATCTCTGCCGGTGTGAACCCGAGCTACGATAGCACGCCGGAAGTCATCGTTCTACACGCAGGGAATTTTATACTCATTCTGTTTTGGTGCGATCTGAATCCGAATCGGTACAACTCAACACTCCTAGTTCGTAATAGCGCGCAAAATCTTTGACCGCTCTGACCTCATGACGTCATGCGTCATGGCAACAGGACCTCTCAAAAAAGGGGGTGCTACGATAGACTGGGCTATCTCACTGCGGTGTGGATCCGGCGAATGCCAATGGGCGGACTGTGGGTCGCGCTACAATAGCGCGATCCACGGTCCGCCCACGGTCCCCCCTTGCGGTGTGAACATGCCCTAACATGTACATCATGTTCTGATCGATGCACAGTTGAGGTATAAAGATCGGTAATTATCGATCATTACAAGTATAATCAAAGATAAATTCACTGACTTGAACATTACCTGCCATGAGCGTCTCATGAATGGATGTTCCGTCTGTAGAGTAGCCATCTTCCATCTCTCTACTATCTAAATCGCCGGTCGTGTCCCTAGATTCGTTTCCTGGACCCTCGTTGTTCGCTCCTGATGCTGGCACCGGAGCTTGGTTGCTGACAGCATCAGGTATTTGGTTACTGACAGCATCAGGAACTTGGTTGCTGACAGCATCAGGTACTTGGTTGCTGACATAAGCTTCAGGTACTTGCTCTGAACCCTGGCTCTGAGCTGCAGATCCCAGCTCTGGTATCTTGTTAGTGACAGCTCCAGCCTTCTTTTGCTCGCGAACTCGATCTGTGTTCAAGAGAAGAATGTTGAATAAGTATTCCCGTCAGCACCGTAAATTACTGAATCTAACAACACTCAGATTCATACTCTATGTATTTCTGCAGAGTGGGGAAGATCAATCGTTGGGCCAACAGCCCTACATGTACATGTATGTATATGAACACATGGGGAAATATTACTCAGACCATTGGATAGAAAACTTGGGCTATTTGGGCTCACATACTTAACCTGTGTCATGGCCAATGTTAGATTGGATTACAGAGGCATTGGCATGCGTGTATTATAAATTTTTCTGTTTTTACTTTCAGCAGCCTGTGCTTGTTCCATGTGTAATGAATATTGGAAATGTCCAAACTAACTAACATGTACATTATGTTCTGATCGATGCACAGTTGAAGTATAGTTTTTTATCATTACAATTATCATTATAGATTCACTGACATGGACATACCTGCATGGGTGGTTGCTCCAACTGTAGAGCAGTGATCTTCCATGGCCATGTCCATAGACTTGTTTCCTGGACCTTCATTGTTGGCGTCTCTTGATGCTTGCAGCGGAACTTTGTTGCCGACGGCTTCAGGTCGCGGCTCTGAACTCGGGATCTTCATTGATAGACCCTGGCTGATGGCAACTGCAGATCCCAGCTCTGAAATTTTCTTTATTGGTGGTTGTCGCGGAGCCTCTTCTTGGGGAGCCTCTTCTTGCTCACCTACTGTATTCAAGAGAAGAATGTTGAATATGTATTCCCACCAGCACTTTTACAATAGCACCAATTGAATGATAACCATAACATTCTTATACAGTAGGCTTGTGGATGCACCATGTAAGAGAGAGGGTGGATTGAGGAGTCCTGAAAGGACTCTTGGTAATCTTTCTTGAGGGTGTGTTGTCCTGAAAAGGACTGTTGGTGTAGTCTTCAAAAACATTCTTAATTAGAAAGGAAAGACTTGTACCATTAATTACTGAATCTAACAACACTCAGATTCATACCCAATGTATGACTATTGATTGTGGAGCGGGGAAGATGAATCGTTCCAACAGCTCTACAGGTACATGTATGTCTAAATGCTTTTTATATGAACACATGGGGAAGTATTAATCAGACCATTGGATAGAAAATGTGGGCTATTTGGGCTCACATAACCAGTGTCATTACCAATGTTGGATCAAAGAGGCATTGGTATGGGTGTATTTTTAAAAGTGAAATACAGACAGAAAACTACCAGTAGCAGCTGTACGATTCCAACCTCTCACGATACTACGTTTTCAAACTCACGAATCAGCCAACTTAAGCAATACCACTGAATATAGACACAGCACAATAAGTTAACAGCAGGTCCATACAGAAAGCATGTATTAAACACCTCTCTTTCCTAAAGACTCTGGTGTCTATCACAGGTATAGGATATAAGTCTTACCATCAACTACGATTCGCCTAAGCACTTCCAAAAAGTCCTTTGCTGATATACCATCTCTGTATCCTCTACGGAGAAGAGCGAACAATGCTGTCTCTGCTTTCTATGAAGTGTAGAACAGACACAGAAAAAGAGAACTTCATGACAAGAAGGCGAAATCATTCAGAGGGATTAAATGTAATCTTGACATCTGCTAATAATGGACAGATATCCTTGTTCCCATTCGCAGCCGTATATAGCAAGCCTAAAAGGAATGTTGTCATTCATCTTTTAACCAACCATCTGTCTTTTTGTTAACTGTTGTCTTTTCAGAAATCATTCTTATTTATGCAAATGATATTTTGTTGAAAGATGAATCACTTTTAAGAAAGACAAATGATTTAAAAAAAATTAATGAGGACATAATTTTTTTCCCTTCGGTAAACCGCAGTGTTTTGAAAATATTTTGTTATGATGACGTAAAGTCTAATAAAGTCAACCACCACCAATTATATACTTTAATAATAATCATTACAGAGTATCACAGAAATAAATGTAAATAATCTATTGAAGTGCCCCCGTTATAATAAGTGTGGTCTCAAAGTGCACCAGATGACCTGGTGATGCCTTGTGCTATAGTGGTAAACGGTGTGTACGACATACAATGTAACTTACGTTAAAGATAAAGACCAGTTATGGTCATGCGATTGCATTGTGAAAGAAACGTGCAATCAATCAGAAAAGGTTGATCATCTAGCATATACACTGTAAGTATTGGTGTGTACTGCAAGGTTCTGGAATCATCAAAATGATAAGAAATTTGGCCCAGTCTCCGTAAAGTTACAAGCACTGTACACAGAAAGATGTATATGGGACTATACGCACACGTGCGTTTATCTCTCACAGTCCAATAGATAAACTAATTTACCAAATATATCAATTAGAAGGCGGTTTCCTGGCAAAATTTTTATCATCATGTATTACTCAAAACATATTCTTTCACATGATTGGTAATAAGAGCTTCCATTTCATTTTTTTAAATTGGGGCATTTCCAATACTGGTCTTTACCTTTAATGAATACGATATGCAACATTTAATTACCTTGATGAAAATATTTATGCGTGTTCTTAAATTTGCAATACCAGTAACTGATTCACAAATTTCGCGAAAATAGCTGTACAATATTGGATTAAGAATCGCTATAAGTTAATTTCTCCCTCTACGCAAGCTCACGTACAGACCAGAAGATTAGATTAGATTTAATCGTAATTTAAAGAAAATGTTTCTAATTGCAACTCTCCTCCATATTTAACTAAGATAATTTGCCTTTGACATTACTTGAAGAATCCAAACAATTCATCTTTCTGTGACCATCAGGAAATAATTTTTCCTCTCGTTTAAGGTATTATGAAAGAATCATTACAGATGATAGACATTCAAGCACAGAATACAATATTTCTAAAATTACATTTGGGGTGCTCAGGAATCGACATACACATCACATTAAAATCTTCTTCTTGTTCCTAATGATACAATAAAGATGTAACATGTACCTTCTGAGAGTCTCGAGGTTTCATCCTCATGTAGAATGCGTAGAGGCCACCCATGACCTTGCACATTGCTTTCACATCAATGAGAGACTCATCAAGAAGTGCAGCCTCTACACAGAAGATAACAATTAATTTAAAGGGTGTAGGTTGGGTGGCCCACAAAGGGTTTTAACATGTAAAAGGCGGCAAGTTTGAAAATCAGTTACAACTTTAACTTAATTCTCAGCCAAAATCAGTTCTAAAATTTAAGTCATAAAATTGTCTGAAATGCTTCAAAATATGGCTCAGACTGCACCAGAGAGTATCTAAGAATCCCAGAGCTCCCAGAGACCATACATGTAAGAGTGGCCTGGAACATGGCCGGCTGCAAATGGACTTTTACAGCGCTGTGCCAATCATTTCATACTCCTTTCAAGTTGCAAATTTACATGTTTAAATTTTGGTTTGTGGACTGCCCTGTCAATGTCATAGGCATAATGATTCATCATAATGCAATCCAGTCACCACTATAGATCTGAATTCATGTTCTGGCTTAGTGCATGAAAATAAATTTTCCACCTGGAAGAAGGCTAGAGCCTGTGCCACATCAAAAATAGTGTGCACTTTGTGGAACAGAAAAGAATCCAGACTGTACAGTGCGTGTAGAGAAAATGTGTAAATCTAGACTATTGTCCTAAACATGAACATTATTACAAGAAGCTCCACCCCCACCCCCCCCCCCCAAAAAAAAGCTTGAATTTCTTTTTGAGGGGGTTGCTTTATTTTCTTCTTCCTTTCCCTTTTCCCTTTCCTTTCCTGTCCTTTCTTCTTTTCTCTTCTCTTTTCTCCTCTCCTTTCCCTTACCTTCTTTTGCAGGTAATTTGTATTGTTGTTTGGGTTTTTAAAAAATAAAATAAACCATTAATCACATAAAACAGAGGGGCTGACATGTGGACAAGACAGACAGACAGACAGACAATAAATTCCTCAACCCCTCAACTCCTCCATCCCGCCCCCGCCCCCTCCTCCAACCACACAACCACACAGAAGAGCATCCACATTCTTACCGTTGTTCTGCTCCTTGGATTTTTCAGAGCTGATGAGAAAGGCTTTCATATGGTCATTGATGAAGATATTCCCAGCTGTAATGAAAAACAAGATGGATAAAGACTAATACCCTTTTCTAACTGCACTTATTTTCATCGGATGCATCCGGACGCATCCGATGAAAGTGCCAGTTAGAAAGCAACAGAGGAGAAAAGGGCGATTAAATAGCCGATGAAAAGAAGAGAAATAGGCGATTAAATTCTCATTCTATCGGTGTGACACCGATGAAATTGCCAGTTAGAAAACGCTCGGGAGAAAAGGCGATTAAAACAGCGATTAAAATGGTCAAAGGTCGCAGTATACGCGCGCTTTATCGTAACCAGCTGTGTTTGTTGACTTATGGTTGAACATGCTGCATGCTAGCTAGATGGAGCGCGGGCTTAATAATTACGTAATAATTCTTCACTTCCGGCAAGGGCTCGCCACAGCGAGTGAATTTCACCGGCAGTTAGAAACCGACAGGGGGAAAACTGCGGTTTCACTTTTGTTTACATAAGGAAAATTCAATTGGTATTTTCATCGGTGTGACTCCGATAGAGTGCAGTTAGAAAAGGGTATAAAACATCACTTGTGCAAAGATAGCTGTCCCACTGCCTAAGTAGTCAGTGATTATTAGATTACTAATGCAAGACCCCAAATATTTAGCAAATGTCTTGATATAGAGATAGTCAATATTTGTTTAATATCCCTCATATTCATACTTGGTTTTCGAACCCGGGACTTCCAGGTTATGAGACAACTACCCTACCACTGAGCTATCCGGCCTCCGTCAGATTCTGTATATGATGGATACAATAACACATAGCGTCCTCACCTCGCACATCTCCATATACTATGGATTTATCATGTAGACCAGCAAGCCAGCTCATGAGATCACAAATGATCTTTACGATATCATCCAAAAGGAAACTCCATCCATCTCCATCGGAAAGCAAGATCTTCTCCAGACAGACGGTGTATTGAGTGAACGTTTTCTTCAACAAAGCTTGCTGTTTACATGAAAAAATCAAATTGACAAATATATCGCAATACTGGTATATGTTAACACTTTCAATTTGTTATAGAATATATAGACAACAACCAAAAGTGAAATGCCTTATGAAGACTACTGGTTATTCACTGGTCTACCCTATCGGATTGCCAAGGGTAATTGTTATGCTCATTTGCTTTCAAATGATTATATACTCCTTATCAATCACTGCAATTGTTCCTGATGATGCATATTACTTTTGAAGAAAACACCAGGATTAATTCTTCGAATGTCACTATCGAGACATTGATTGAGGAATCTTCATAAAAGCTGACAAATGTGACCTTCGAAGTCAGTAATTTCTTTTCAAAGTACTGCATTCCAGCGCAAGTTCACACCAAAGAGGGTTTATAAGATCCATGACATTTGACCCGTGGCCTGCAAATTCCCATATCTACTCATTTAATGTCCTTGTACAGGCTGACACCACATTTGAAGCTAAAGCCAACATGGTTCTTAATGTCTCAAGACAATTTTCATGAAAATTGACCTTCGGCAAGGCTAGGTTTTCATATGTAGTCAACAAGATCATACCTCTTTGGGGATGTAGTCTTTCCTTGTCTGCGTGAGTCCTACAGTCTCTCCATGAATTTTTCCACCCTGAAGGTCGTTTATCTCAAGGTCACGTAGACAGGTTAATATTGTAGGCTGTACTTCCCAAAATATCAAAAAAATTAAAATGCATACATTACATTTTGATGTTGCATGTAGTGTCAGCATAAGGGTTAAAGGGGAAGTTTGACCTGATATTAAGTTGGTTTTAGTAGCAGCAGAAAAATGAGAGGAATTACAGGTCGGCGAAATTTTTAGCAAAAATCTGATTAGAAATCAGAAAGTTATGATGTTTGAAGTTGCGATCAATCAAACACAGATTGGCAACTCTGTGACGTGTCTAATTGCAAGCTCCCCTTCCATTTGCTCTGTAATAAATATTGAGAAATTTCTATTTTTGCCTTTAAGAAAATTTCAATCAAACATTCATCGTAAATATGTTTTTATTCAACTCTAGCTGTATGAAACAAATTTATTCTGTTATACTAAATTTGTACATGTACAGTGACTTACATGTAAGGAAAATTGTCTAAGGTCTGCTTGTATATCTTCAAAATTCTTAATCATATGGAAACTGAATCTTAATCAACCTCCAAATATAAACACCAGCTCGTAACCTTAGCTCAACAACTGATAAATATAAACTAAGTATTCCCAAATCCAGGCTCTTACAGAAAAAATGTCTCACAGTGACTGCTATGAAAACATGGGACAACATTCCGGTTTCAATCAGAAAATTAATCTGTCTTGCCTCTGTCAAAAGATTCCTTAAAATATACTCCTTCCCCCAGTAACTTTACTTAATGATTTACCTATTTTCATAATTATATGTATTTCATGTTTCTTCCTCACTTTCCGTAGTTTTGTATTTTAAGCACTATGGTACATTTTGTTTTTAGCACACCTAAATGATCAATATTTTTATTAATATTAGATTTTAGCCCATAATTTATTCTCCAACAATATTATTATTTGTGACTAGGTAGAGATGAATTTTGAAAAGATTGATAAAGACTGACCTCCAGCGAGCTTTGATTATTGACATCATTAGTCTCGTCAAGTTCATCTTGAAGCACCTTATCCGTCTGCACACTATCCACCGAAAGCCATGCCTGATAGTGATGTTCATTTCGGAGTCCTACTCCTAGGGTCATCCGACTCATTCCCAAGTTCATAGCTCTGCTCTGTGGGTCACCGACGGCAAGGAGATGATCATCAACCTGCCCATCAGAACCATTCTGATCATAAAAAAGTGAGAGATATATGATACAAATTTCATAATTATTGTAAATTAAGCAGAAACTTTTGCATTCACTAGACGCACCATGCAAGAGGTGACCATAACAAAAAATCCCCCAATTCTATATCACATTTCTCTAATTTCAGCTTAACTCTATTCAATTCAGTCATTCATTCAAAATAACATTCATCTTCTTCCGTTCAATTTGACAACATATTTGACATTTGTTCAAACAATACAATTTAAATAGGTAGGAAAATTTTAAAAATTGTATTACAAGGAAGAACGTGCGAATCCCAGTAAGCATAGCTTGGGTATGTCCAAGTTCACATATACATAATATAATCTATGAAGAATTCAAAAGGAATATACCTATTCATATATTTGTATGTACATGTACAGGTACATGTAGCTGTAGATGTAGCTGCTGTAGCATAGGATATGTGTCATTTCAATGTTTTCTCCTCACCTCAACAAGATTGTAGCCTTTTTCTCTAAGAAGAGGCTGATACCTCTTCATCTCCTTGAGGTTTATCAGAGAAACATCGGAATCTATTTCTCGCTCAGACGTCTTGGAGTCCTCCAGATTTTTCAGGGAAACATCTGAATCTGTGTCTTGCACAGACGTGCTCAGATTGGCAGCCATGTCATACATGTACTACATGTAGTTGGAAGCTACCATGTACAGTACACGTACCTGTGAAGAAGAAAAAAAGGTTAAAACTATTTAGAAATGCTACATGTATTAGCTTCAGAGATTATCATCATTATCACCACCATGATTTTCATCATTATAATCATTATAATCATAATCATCATAACAATAACAATTATAATAATAACAATACTTACATGTATGATAACTTTTTTTACTTGCTTGTGCCTCTCCTCAACAGATACAGTGCCTATACCTCTAGACCCCGCTAAACAATTTTTACAGGCCAATATACAGTTTTTGTCTATATTTGACACTTAACATGGATTTTGAAGTCAATACGTCTTAATAGATTTCCCTTTGTCTTTCCGATGCTGGTAGTCGGCTAGAAGATATTTTAACAAGCAAAGAATCGACCCGATCGAATCAGAGTAAAAATATTTTTTTCATGAATTCATAATTTACACAATAAAAACTGCAAACAGGCCAATCTTCGTCCTTCTACACGTACATGTACATGTACACCTATTGCATGCACTACAAGTCAATGAACATATAGCATTACAACATCACAAATAAAACTATTTCCTGGTGTCTCATACCAGCTCACTTCCTCTAATAAATATCATTTTACATGAAATGAGCAGAGGCGGCGCTCCCCCCCCCCCCCCCACACTTTTTGGAGTACCACCAAAAGTGCCCCTTTTGACATAGGAAAAAAGCCCTTTTTACTTTGACAATTGAGTGCCTCTTTTCTTTTAAATAAGTACCCCTTTCCCTTCTAATAAGTGCCCCTTTTCACCTCTGATAAGTGCCCCTATTTTGGCAAGTGCACCTTTTCCTTTAAATAAGTACACCATCCCCTCCTAATAAGTGCCCCTTTTCACGTCTGATAAGTGCCCCTTTTATTTTGACATGTTCTTTTTTTCCTAGTGATAAAGAAAGAGAGCCCCTTCCCCCTCCCATCAATGCCCCCTTTTCCTCTGATAAATGCCTCTATCAAAATCTGATAGGTGCCCCTTTTCCTTTAAAGTGTCCCCTTTTCAATCTCATTAAAAGTGCCCTCTTTCATCTCAAGTGCCCATTCTCAGGTACAATAAGTGCCTCTTTCATTTTGAAATGTGCCTCTTTCCTTTTCTAATAATTAAGTGTAATTTTTTCTTCAGATAATCGTACCTTTTCGTTTTTATAAAAGGCCCTTTCCTCTCTCATAAATGCCCCCTTTTCACCTCTGATAAATGCCCCTTTTAAAATGAATAGGTGTTTCATTTGCATTCTCATAAGAGCCTCTTTTAATCTCTATTGAGTGCCTCTTTTCAGGTGCGAGCAGTGCCCCTTTTCATGATAGCCCTTTTTACTTTGACAACTGCCGTTTTTTGTTTCTAATAGGAGCACTTTCCTTCTAATAAGTGCCCCTGTCCCTCTTCAATATTAAACAGCTCATTCCCTTTCTCATAATTGCCTCATTTTACATCAAATAATTGCCCTTTTTTTTTACTTTGACATATATATGTCCCTTATCCTTTCTAATTAGTATACATTATTTCCTTCTTCTAAGTGCCCCTTTTCCTTGTTTATAAAAGCACCTTCCCCTTTTCACCTATGATAAATGCCCCTATTAAAATCTGATAGGTGCCCCTTTCCTTCAACATATTCATCTTCTTCATTCTCATAAGAGCCTTTTTTTACATGACCTACAGTACATGTACATGCATGTACAGTACATGTATACCCAGATGCTGTGTGTCTGGACAGGTTTTACATCTGGACATTTGATTTAAAACAGCAATTTGAAGGATTTTGCAAGCAATATATCATAAATCCTCAAAGAATTATGTTGGACAATATTATAAATGACAAACATTCATGATGGTATTGCCATTTGATCACTATTTTTCATTAAAACTGAAGGCAGAATAGAAGGCTTTGTGTTTGATGTTCATTGCTCCCATGGCTCTCGAGATGTAGTAATAATACAGCAAAAAACACTGAATTTCAAAGAAAAGTGAGTGTGACCTATCATTTTTAACCTATGTCCTTCCCCAGAATGTAATCAGTTTGTCTCCTTATGGTGATAGTATATGAATTGTTTATAAATGAGATCTTTTTTTTTCCTAATCATCATCATCATGGGTGTGCAGCAAGGGCCGTCTGTGTATGGGGGCGGCCACGGTTTGCAAATTTCAATATTAGTAAGTAATTCCCCATACCACAGAAACTGTCATACTTTCAACAAAGTAGAACCACTGATTACCCCTCCCCCCCCCCCCCCCCCCCAAAAAAGCATCAAATTAAGAACTTGGATTAGATTTAGAATTATTTTGCCCAATTGTAATAATGTCACCTGATTCCCAGTTTAAATCTTGCCCCCTTTTTGATGACAGGAGGAGGGCGTGCTCCGACACAGAGTGTAATTTGACAAGAGTCAATGTCAAGAGTCAATGTCAACACATATTTTCATTCATAACTACAGTACCGGTATGTTGCACTGGCAAGAGTACACACACAATATGCACCATGTATCGATATCCTACATACATGTACATGCATGCATGTCCATGTTAGAGAGCTTTGTTCTTTGTTCACGAAAACCACAGACAGTTACGACACACGCCAAATTATTATAAACAAATCACAATGTCATCTGACGTCTTCCATATCATTAAATACACACTTTGATCTTCATACAAGAAGTCAAATTATCCACTTACAATTCCACTTGAATGAACACAATGTCAGCAAACAATGCAGTTTTACAAACACTTATGTATCAGTCCAAAATCATAATAGCGCTAGCCTGGCTATAGCTAGATCAGGGAGGTGGGAGGACAGTATCGAATGATGTTGACGTCACGTGATGTTGACGTCACGTGATGTGACAAGTTCATGTCAAGTACAGTTAAAGGGTGATGCATATCAATGCATGCGATGGAGGTGTTTCATTCACATAATAATATATTGTGCACTACATGAATTTAAAGTGAGCTAATGTAACCCATTTATTGAAACTTGAATTTCTGTTAGTAGTTTTCTTAATGATTTCTACAAAGAGTACATGTTGCAAAAGATTTTTTTTTTTTTAATGTAAAAAAAAATGAGCTGATATGAAAACAGGTAAAAGTTTTGCAACTCGATTTCTACACTACAATAAAATTTCTTCCAGATGACAAATTATTTCCAAACTTAAGTTATGAACCAACGCCTGTACAGTACGTACAGTGGAGTTTACTCCACGGTAGCATGGGGGGGGGGGGGGTCTTTTCAGCCTTACATGTACATGATTAAATTGTGCTAATAAGTCAAACCCATCAGGAGTCAGGACGTTTTTTTCTCTCATTATAAGATGTATTTTTTCACACTGCGACCTCACAAATCTTCAAAATATTGCTCGCTTTGCTCACTCGCAAATAAATATTCCGACCATCACACCCAACTGCAAGGTAAGATGCTTAAGCAGTATCTTAATTGGCCCCTGTAAAGAAAGAAACAAATATTGTAACAATACACCCATGACAAAGGGCGTATCCAGGATTTGTTAAGGGGAGGTGTTTTTTGCCAATACGTGAGAAAATATTTAGGGACGAATCAGCCAGCCGGTAATAAAGCAGGGGGGGGGGGTGAGGGGGTAGCACTAATTTTTGGCCGGGGGGGGGGGACCATAGATACAACACAGATAAAGGGCGTCTTTAAAATTCTAAAACACCCCCCTTTTGCCAAGGAGGGGGAGGGGGCGAGTGTTTGAACATCTAACACACCCCCTGTTTGCTACGATCGAGGAGGTGTTTGAACACCCAAAACACCCCTCGATAGGCCAACGCCCAAGATAATGTAATCATAATTATGAAAATGTAGGGGTTTAGATGTACATGTACCAATGTCTGAAAATGTATGTTTTTGCTTTTGAGGTTTCTATACAATGTATATGTACATGTACATGTACATGTAGGTGCCCTTTTGGGGGTGCCCCCCCCCCCCCCCCTCCCCCCTCCCTCCCACTGGAAGATGCAATTATAACTAGGCTGGGCATACAAAAATACAGAGTTTCATGGCAATTTACCTCTTAAAACCTTTGGCCTATATGTACATGTGTGCCCAGACGCTCTGTGTCTCGCAAGTTTTGTATCTGGACAGTTTTTTTTTTTAAACAGCAATTTGAAGAAGTTTACTGCAAGTAATATTTCATAAATTTATCTTAGAATTATGTTGGACAATATCATATATTTATAAAATAATAACAATTCATGATGGTTTAATATATTAATTGCTATTTGATCACTATTTTCATTAAAACTAAAGGCAGAGCACAAAAACACATACAGTGTATGGCAATATACACAGCAAAAAACACTGAATTTCAAATAAATTTGTTTGAGACAAAATCCATTAAAAAGTCATACGCCAGAAAACAAAGGTTAAAGTTAAAGATATCATGGAGAAAGTCAGAGAATCAAAGTGGAGATGGGCTGGGCACGTAGCAAGACATCAGGACAATAGATGGACAAATCGTTTAACAGAATGGCAACCAAGGATGGGAAAGAGAAGAAGAGGAAGGCAGAAGAGAAGATCGACCTAACATCATACATGAGAACGGCCGCTTGGACTATGACAGCTAGAGACAGAAGAGAATGGAAATGTTATGAGGAGGGCTTTGTCCAACATCTGGATGAACTATAGCCTGTTAGATAGATAGATACCCATAGGAAAGTGAAAAGTATGCCGCAGACCTGCCGCAGACCTGCCGCAGATCTGCAGCAGACCTGCCGCAGACTTTTAGTCTGCGGCAAAGAGTATGCCGAAGTATGCGGCAGAAAGAAATTTTGCTGCAGACTTGCCGCATACCAGTATGCCACAGGAACAGTCTGCGGCAGATCTGCGGCAGGATGAAATTTTGCTGCAGACTTGCCGCATACTAGTATGCCACAGGAACAGTCTGCGGCAGATCTGCGGCAGGATGAAATTTTGCTCCAGACTTGCCGCATACTAGTATGCCACAGACAGGAACAGTCTGCGGCAGATCTGCGGCAAGATGAAACTTTGCTCCAGACTTGCCGCATACTAGTATGCCACAGGAACAGTCTGCGGCAGATCTGCGGCAGGATGAAATTTTGCTGCAGACTTGCCGCATACTAGTATGCCACAGGAACAGTCTGCGGCAGATCTGCGGCAAGATGAAACTTTGCTGCAGACTTGCCGCATACTAGTATGCCACAGGAACAGTCTGCGGCAGATCTGCGGCAAGATGAAACTTTGCTCCAGACTTGCCGCATACTAGTATGCCACAGGAACAGTCTGCGGCAGATCTGCGGCAGGATGAAATTTTGCTGCAGACTTGCCACATACTAGTATGCCACAGGAACAGTCTGCGGCAGATCTGCGGCAGGATGAAATTTTGCTGCAGACTTGCCGCATACTAGTATGCCACAGGAACAGTCTGCGGCAGATCTGCGGCAGGATGAAATTTTGCTCCAGACTTGCCGCATACTAGTATGCCACAGGAACAGTCTGCGGCAGATCTGCGGCAGGATGAAATTTTGCTGCAGACTTGCCGCATACCAGTACGCCACAGGAACAGTCTGCGGCAGGTCTGCCACAGGAAATCCCATTAAAGTCTAATAGGGCCAATTGAAACCAATCATCTCATGCATATTCATTATTACTTTACACGTGTGACAGAAAAATACATTTATCATGATTTGTTAAGCAAATTAAGACAATGCACATCATTTTTGTGATTTCTATTTTCCTTTTGCCATTATTAACCAATAGATTATTTTGTCTGATCATGTTACAATTACATTCACGTTTAAGCAATAGATATATTGATTACTAACCAAGAAACTATGATTACTAACCAAGAAACAATATACATATTTAGTATATATATGTGTACGAGCCTGTGTCACTTTAAATGTTACTCTTGAATACACTTCAAATGATCAATGTGATGAAGTTAATACAATTGAGAATAGAATATACCTAATTGGTAATATATATATATATATTGGTATTACCTAATTGGTAATATCGATATTGCCAATATCGATTACGAAGTATCAATCAGTTTATCACTGGTTCTTCTACATGCATATTGCCACGTACTGGATATGAAAGAGTATGCGGCAGGTCTGCAGCAGGTCTATATGAGATATGAATATTCATGACGAAGAGTCTGCGGCAGGTCTGCAGCAAGTCTGCGGCAGACCTGCCGCAGACTCTTCATCATACTGAAAGAGTATGCGGCAAGTCTGCAGCAAGTCTGCGGCAGACCTGCCGCAGACTCTTCATCATACTGAAAGAGTATGCGGCAAGTCTGCAGCAAGTCTGCGGCAAAACTAATTTGCATGTGAAAAAGATGACTGTCTGCGGCAGGTCTGCTGCAGATCTGCGGCAAGTCTGCCGCAGGAGTATGCGGCAGGCTCATTTCTTTCCTATGGGTAGCCTTTAAACCTTTGACCTACCCCAGAATGTAATCAGATTGTCTCCTTATGATAAAAAACATAAGATAAAAAAATATATATGTAAACTAAAAAATCTATTTTCTTTCCAATAATCATCAGAAAAAAACTGAGGGCAAACTTTTTGCCAGATTCTGGTGAGAATTAATTGGCAAGTTAATCCCCCCTTGGGCGTGCAGCAAGGTTTTACCGTTTGTGTAAGGGGAAGGTTGACAAATGTTAATATTATTAAAGAATTCACCACAGAAACTGTCAAAATTTCAACAAAGTCGAACTATATTATGTACAGTAGATCTACCCTTCCCCCCCCCCCCCCAAAAAAAAAAAAAAAAAAATTAAATTTTTTTTTTTAAAATCAAAGAACTAATTAGATCAGATTTTGAATTATTTTCAAAAATGTATAACCTCAAAAACTGATTCCCAGTTTAATCTTAACACCTTTTTTACGAAGAGGGAGGGGGGGGGGTGTGCTCTGTCACAGAGTGTAATATGACAGGAGTCGGTGTGAACAACACAAGTTTTCAACACAAGGCAAATAGTACACACAGCACATGCACTAGCTGGTATGTCATGCTTACCGGTACACGTACATGTACATTCAGATAATAGCATAGAGACCTAAATGTTCAAAGTGCGCACGTCAAATTATTGTAATCACAAACCACAATGTCATCTTCCCTATCATAATATACACTTTATAATCTTCATACAAGAAGTCAAATTATCGACTTACATTTCCACATGAATGCACACAATGTCCCAAAGGTAAGACCAGCTATTAATGGTCCTATAGTTCTCAGACAGTTTTATCAAAACAAACAAAATATCATAATAGCGCTGGCCTGGTTAGAATGATGTCATTCATTGACGTAATGCATGTTATTTACATGAAGTTCAAGTCACGTGTGATGATGCATATCGATGCGCGCGAATGGGAGGCTTCTTTCATTCACATGATTATTGTGCACTACAGTGTACATGTACATCAATACAAATGATTGAACCCATTTATTGAAACTTTGATTTTGTTTATAGATCTTATCAATTTGTACAATGAGTTTATATTATTGCAAATAATTTCTTTATTTTTAAAGGAAACCAAAACCTTCATACTAAGTTACTTTTATTGTAAAGTTTAAAAGATTTGAATAAAATCAGTGAAAATTTGAACAAAATCGGGCAAGGAATAAGGAAGTAAGCGCTTTTTTAAATGACTAGTCACTAGAGGGCGGTATTCAATTTGATGACATCATCTGTGAACAACTCTCCATGCCTTTTGTACATAAAATTTCACAATTTTTTTGTTTTCTTCGTATTTATTTGTGTTCTTGATCCGACTTCAAAGCATGTGAAGTAGAATATCATTTTGCATTCTATATCTTGCTTTCGGGGGAGTACATTATCTCAATCACAAGAAAGAAGGAAAAACATGAAATTTGATGTACAAAAGGCATGGAGAGTTGTTCACAGATGATGTCATCAAATTGAATACCGCCCTCTAGTGACTAGTCATTTCAAAAAGCTCTTGGCGTTGTGGCGTGCGCCTGTAATCCAGCTAAAAAGTGGAAGTTACAAACTGATTCAGCCGAGGACGCAGGTTCGAAACTGAGTCACGTCTTTCGGATGGTGACGTTTAAAGGTCGGTCCCAGACGTAAATAATCATATCTGATTGATACACGTCTGTAAAAACCCAATACACACACACACTCTTACTTCCTTATTCCTTGCCTGATTTTGTTCAAATTGTCACTGATATTTTTCAAATATCTTAAACTTTACAATAAAAGTAACTTAGTATGAAGGTTTTAGTTTCCTTTAATGTAAAAAAAATAAGCTGATATGAAAACAGGTAAAAGTTTTGCAACTCGACGGATCTAAAGGGCCTTTCGCGAAAATATTTCATCCATTTCTGCACTACAATACAGATATATTCACAAATTTCTTCCAAATGACAAATTATTGTAGCTTGTAACTTTACCAAGACTGGGCCAAATTTCTTATAATTTTGATGATTCCAGAACCTTGCAGTACACACCAATACTTATATGCTAGATGATCAACCTTTTCTGATCGATTCCACACCGTTCCTTTCACAATGCAATCGCATGACTAGAACTGGTCTTTATCTTTAAGCAGTATCTTGGCCCATGTAAAGAGAGAAACAAATATTGAAACAATACACCCATGATCAAGGGCGTATCCAGGATTTTTTAAGGGAGGTATTTCTTTGCCCAATTTGTGAGAAAATATTAAGCAGGAAATCAGCCAGCCGGTAAATAAAAAGGGGGAACTGATTTTTGCCTGGGGTGGGGGGAAGGGGGGGGGGCCATAGATAAAACACAGATAAAGGGTGTCTTTAAAATTCTAAAACACCCCCTTTTACCAAAGGAGAGGTGGTGTTTGAACACCTAAAACACCCTGTTTGCCAAGGAGAGGTGTTTGAACACCCAAAACACCCCTCCCCCCTCGATACGCCAATGCCCATGATAACATAATCATAATTATTAGAATGTAGGGGTATACATGTACCAATGTCTAAAAATTCATGTTTTTGCTTTGAGGTTTTCCTACAATTTATGTACATGTGGGTGCCCCCCTCCACTTTGGAAGACACTCCGCCCCCCCCCCCCCTTGGAAATAAGACTTAAGTACTAAATACCATTTGGGGTTTAGAAAAAAAAAGAATGAATGAGAAATTGAGACTGTTTCTCCGATATAGAATTGCTTTAGTTACATGTAGTTGGTCATCATTCTCTACTGCTAGAACATGTACAAATTCATTTTCGCTATGACTATAGTCTAATAACATGTAATTATGTATAAACAGCACTAGCTATGCCCCGGGGGGGGGGGGGGGGGGGGGGGGGGGGGGGGGTACTCAGATTATAGTCGGACGAGGGTGTGCGGCTGAGACCTCCGAACCCATACCCACATCCAAGGGTCCTTTTGCTGAAATAGGTACCCATGTCTAAGGATTTTTTGTCAAAAATGGACCCATGTCTAAGGATTTCAAACTTCAAATATTACATTTTTTAAGCTGTAATAATACACTCCAGCAAAGCATATGGAGAGTCAACGCTAATGCATATTGACCTCTAGCACTGCACTACGCGTTAATAGGCAGCATTTAAATACATGAATAGTCAATACGCTCATAACACAGAGATGCACACAATCATGCCGATGCGGCTGATCGGCAAGTTCGACAGTGGACTCACAATTTGATTTTTTTAATTATTCTTTCTAACATCGGAAAGTTAAAAAATGTATATTACTGCTATTTAGATCTTATTGATTGTCACTAAAGTATTGATTTTTAGTGTTATTGGTTGAGTTTTACACAGTGGTGTTTGAAATGTTGAGAATCAATACTAATAGCACAGCTTTTAATACACAGCCAGGATAGTAATGCACCTATGTGTGTAATAATACAATGGCCAATAATTTTGCAGTTTCTCGATAAAGTTCTTTATTAGTAAACTGTACCATACTACATGTAGTTTACAAGTAGTTTACACACATAAAGATGAAAACACCATGCAACATAATAATACTGTGCTAGCACCTCTAGCATCTGTTTTAATTGAAGGACTTTTCCTGTTAACGTACCCGTACACGAGCTCTCAAGCATTGGCTATATAGCTCCCTGCTTGAGCCCCGCTGCTGCCCGGCTGCTGGACAGAGGGTACGCAGGGTATAGCTGCCGATCTTTCAGCGTGCGAAGCGCTACAAGTTTCCGGGGGTACGACCCCTATACGGGCGGATACCATACCTAGCGCGCATTATGCCATATGAGTACCCGGTATAGAGCCCATGGGGTCCTGATATATGTGGTACCCCGGGATCTAGTTGAGTTTACGAGCTACGTACGTACACCCACTGACTTAGAGGTCAGTGCGTACACCTCGTACACTGGAAATGCAATCACCGAATTCGAAGGGTCCATTTATTTAGAGATGGGAGAGATTTAGGCATTTTCAATGTAGGAGCAAATCCCAAAATCCAGGAGAAAATGAGGGAGAAAAGAGGGGAAAGGAATAAATGAAAAAAGGGACCCATGTCTAAGGATTTTTTTAATGAAAAGGGGACCCATGTAGGATCTTTCCTGAAAAAGTCACCCTTCCGAGCGGCACATCCCCGTATACCCAATATACGTGAGTACCCCCCCCCCCCCCCCCCCCCCCCGGGAGCTATGCCCAGTATTCGCTGAGCTGGGCATGCAAAAATGCAGGGTTTCATGGCAATTGACCTCTTATAACCTTTGACCTTAAAGCTGTGTGTCTGGACAGTTGATTTAAAACAGCAATTTGAAGAAGTTTACAACTTCACAAGCAATATGTCCTAAAATTATCTTTTAAAGAATTATATTGGACAATCTTATATCTTTATAAAGGACAAACATTCATGATGGTTACATGTACGGGTATATTGCTATTTGATCACTATTTTTCATTGAAACTGAAGGCAGAACAGAAGGACACCCCCCCCCCCCCCCCCCCACAACATAATGAGTTTATATTACCGTATTTACAATTTCAACACTCTAGACTCAATTTAAAAAACTATACCATAACTTTAAATCACCTTTAAAAAATAACCATGCTAACCATGTCATAATTCAGCAAAGGAAATAGAACCACCGATTACCCACCCCCCCCCCCCCCCCCAAAAAAAAGGGGGGGGAGAAGAAGAAGAAGAAACTTCAAGTTCAAAGAACTTTGATTTTAATAATACTAGATTCTAGATTTATTTTAGAATTATTTTGCCAAAATGTAATATGACACCTCAAATACTGATTCCCAATTTAACTAGCCCCCTTTTTGATGAAGAGGTGAGGAGGTGCTCTGCCGATCTGTCGCAGAGTGCACACAGGAGTCAGCGTCAACCACTCCAGCAAAGCATTAGAGAGTCAATGCTAACGGCTTTATTGGGTATTGACCTCTAGCGTAGCACAAAGTAAAACGAGGCAGCAATTGCACTCATGAATAGTCAATACACTTATTGCACACTTATGCACACAACAAATACGATGTGGTTGATCGGCAAATTTGACAGTAGACTTACAATTTCAATTTTTAATTATTCTTTCTAACATCGGTAAGTTAAACGAATTGTATTTTTCTGTTATTTAGGTGTCATAAATTGTCACTAAAGTACCGATTTTGATTGAAATCGGTGGAGTTTTGTACAGTGGTGTTTGAAATGTTGAGAATCAATAGCACAGCTTTTAATACACAGCCAGGATAGTACTATTAGTAATGCAGCTATGCCTATGTGTGGGCGTACCGCTAAATTTTTACTCGTGCATTCAATGCACGTGCGCTGCACAGATCAGACTTACCGCAAGTACACACAACATTAACAATGCACATGAATGGTATCATGCTTACACACATAGATAATAGCTACATTGTTGTTCAATGCAATTAAAGTGCGCACGTCACGATCACAATCATATGTTATCTATAATCTGCCATATCATAAACATACACTTAAATCTTGATACAAGAAGTCAAATTATCCACTTACATTTCAACATGAATGCACACTATGTCCGGGAGATTACTAGGCAAGACCTAACACTGATTATTTGATTAATTTTACAAACACTTGTCAGTCCGCGGATCCGAAATCACAACAGCGCTGCCCTGGCCTGCTGGCTATAGATAGAGGTTGACGTCATTATGTTACAAGTTCAAGTCGATCGAGTGCGATGCATATCGATGCGCGCCGATATACATGAATACAAATGAGCTATTAATGTAACCCATATAGATCTCACTTTGATTTTATATATCATATATAATATATATTTTACAATGAATAAATTACTGTTGCAAATGGTTTCTTTAAAATGAGCTGATATGAA